TTACGGAGAAGCTTTGAGATTATGACAGGTGGATCTCTCCTCTTTCACCCACGGAACCTAGCATCGATCAGGAGATTTTGTCTGCAACAGTTAGGAATATGGTGTTTGCCTAATGGTGATTTGCTGTTTTTCTCTGTATTTATTTGTTGAATCTGCTATAAGGAAGAGCTGTCCTTTCTCCCAGTGTATTTGTATCTGTATGGACTTGTTGATATTTATTCTGTGGGTTATAATTCAATACTAGCATTATTTATTTTACTGCTCCAATTTGTAAGCCATAATATTTTAAATCGAAAAATACTCTTTCTGTAGGCAAAGAGGCATTTAATAAGCTCAGAGAAAATTCTGATAAATGGAAGATATTAAAATCTAATTATTTATTCAGAGTTTACCACGTGTTCCAGGGAGAACTCTGTTAACGGCACGCACAGGCCTCTCACACCCTGTTAAATCAGACCACGTCAGAAGCTGAAGTACAACGTAAAGGTCTTTTACAACCTCTTGTGATGCATCTAATAATAATGATACTCCTTTAAAAAGGGAAACTCCAGGACAAATGCTACACTGGACAGAATGCTTAAACACTAGGCCAAAACCAGTGTGTTCTAGACAAAGCAGAATGCATGGTCCCCTTAAACCTGGAATCCTCTCTCACTTCAGCACGTGAACCAGCTGCTGCATCTTGTCTATGCTTTCCTCCACATCTCTCTCGACATGAACTCTTATTTTCTACGCTCAGTGTGTCTACCTCAGCCTGGATGCTTGTTGCCACGTGGCCGTATCACTTATAACAACCCATCGACCGAACTCGATTTCTTCTTCTATCCATTCTCTTCACACCGACCACATCTTTCTTTCTCCAGACTCTTTTGTGTCTCATCACATCCTTGCCCAAAAACCTTTTAATGGCTTCGTATTGCCTGCACAGTAAATTCCGAACTTCAGTTCCAAGTACGGTCCGTCCCTGTTCTGTGCTTCCAGGTTCGTTTCCTCCGCCTCGCACATCAGCCCTTCATTCCGGCTTGATCGCGCATCATTTCCTAGACACACCTGGCGTCTGGCATTTGCCGTTCATGCTGTTGCTTCCATCTGGAATCTTCTCCCCAACCTGGACCCTACTTGTTCAAATCTTACCTATACATTTAAGCCCAAGTAGCATTTTCTTCAAGATTCCTTCTTCGATTTCTCGTCTAGGAACACTCTTTATCCTCTGAGGTTCTGCAGTGGTGTGGAGATTTCCCTGGTGGTGTTTTAGACACATACTTCAATGCGAGGAGCTGTTTGATTGCAAGCTGTTGAGGGACAGAGATGGTCTCGTCCATCTTTTGATGCCCAGCAATGCCGCACAGCACCTTGTCCCTCCAATATGCTGCTACTTCGTGACTATTCATTGATTGGATTAATGAACGGACAGCCAACGAGTCCACTCTACAATGGTGACGAGTCCTTCTGTTAGAAAATATTTTCACAATTTATTGGGGACATTCAAGCAGAAGGAATGATTATATTTAAACCTGTCTGTGGGAAAAATATTTTTGAGTAGGCTCACCTTTTAGCCTGTAAACACACTACAAATAGACAAGTTATTTCTTTCACTCTTGTATAAGATCAGCCTTGCTCATTAAACTTTGAGCCTCCATAAAGACGAAACGAGACCAGTTTCATGCCATTTTAGCATTATTAATAATGTCTAAAAACTAAAGACATGATCAGTAAAGATAGAAGGTGTTTGTTTGTATCCATGTGTGTGTGTCTCAAAGAAAGGACCAACATCAAACTAACAACAGTGGCTACTGGCGGGGGGGACAGTGGCCTTGGAGGGGTGTGAAAAGGATTTTCACTGTTGCTCTGTGCGCTTCTGAATTGCTTTAATATTTTTGCAATGAGTATGTAGTGTATGTTATGTGTTAAATAGAAAAATGGTAAATTTTTGAAAGAATTCTTAGCCTACATGACACTATTTGTATGATATCTTAGATGTGCAAACTGCCTTCGAGGAGTTCATAGCAAGAAATGGAGAGAATGCAAATTTCACTCAATACTTTTCAAATTACGTTCTCTGTTTTTATTTTTGAAAATCTTACCGGAGTAAGAAAATAAATATATCTATGATTGAGAGTAAAAACATATTTGGATGGTAAATAATATAGGAAAAAAGGAAAAGCATGGAAAAAGTAGTTGTGTATGTTTTTTATGTCATTATAAACTCCCCATGTAAAAAGTTTACAGTCTAAAAATCAATTGATTCATGGGCATAAGATCTAAAAAACCATAACTAAAATCAGTAAAGCTATTAAAATATTTAAATAATTCTTTAAGAATCAAGTAAAAAAAATTAAAGAACATCTGGAAGGCGAGCAGAGTTAAAGATTGGAAATTAAAAGGCAAATGGTGTGTTTTGTGCCATTGAGGGACTTCAGCAAATGGATATAAACCCATTTGAAAATAAATACAGAGTTTGTGTAATTACAGTGAGCGTGAAGGCGGGTTTAGCATTTGCATATCTCCTGGGAAGCACGATGAGTCAGAAACGTAAAACCAAAGCAAAGGGAGGCTGTTAAAATACTGTCTCCCGTTGTACTGCAGAACTCCAGAAGAGAATAAACGTACCGATTACTTGCATGGCCGGTTCCACGTCTGCTGTGGCCTCTTCCAGCAGCGACAGCAGCTTGGCTGATATCTGATGCACGGATTCGATGTTGCTGAACAAGCTGTCCACGTCCAGCCTGTCAATCTGAAGAAACACAAACACTGAGCACCAGTGACGGAGAGAAAGGCGCTGCAGGGTGTTTTCTCCTGCTAAACAGTAAGTGTTTTCCATGCCTGCCCACGCTGCCTCCGTCGGCCGTGTCTGTAAGCGTTCCTAGGATTTCTAGATCTAGCGTTTCATCTAGGAAACCGGGACGGTGCATCTGTCACCTCTGCCTTTTTCTTTATTCGGAATATGTTCTGAGTTGCATGTACATCTACATATTCCTATAAGAACCGGAAGGAGAAGAAGATTTGGGCCTCACTGGTGCTTTTATCAACTGCCCTCTATGAAGGTACTACCAGTGTGTGAGACTTTG